ATCTTCATCTTCATCTTCATCTTCATCTTCATCTTCATCTTCATCTTCATCTTCATCTTCATCTCCATCTTCATCATCTTCATCTTCTTCATCTTCATCATCTTCATCTTCATCTTTATCTTATTTTTATCTTTATCTTAATCTCCATCTTAATCTTCGTTTTGATTTTCATCTTCATCATCTTCATCTTCTCTTCATCTTCATCTGCACCTTCATCTTCATCTTCGTATTCGTCTTCATCTTTATCTTTTCCTTTATCCTGATCTATATCTTCATTCTTTTCTTCATTTACGTATTCACTCCCACCATTGTTATTAGGTAAGGTATTTACATTTCCCTTCCCCTTTGTCTTTATATGTAGGTTTCTTTACTTTTATTTTAATCCTTGCCTTTATCCCTTTCTTCTTCTACATATTCAACTTTACCTTCTACCTTGCACGAATCTTAATCTACATAAATCTGATTCCTAAACTGCTGCTTAGCACATTTCTTTAATTTAGTATCAATATTAAAGCATACATTTAGGAGGCATTTCCGCCCCAACCATGTACATGTAAATTTGAAAAATTGTCTGCCCATCAGCATCAAAATACCTTTCTAATGATATATAATTGTTTATACCTTAGAGGTATAGTTTAGCTGTGAAAGGGGTGTAAAAAAACATTATTGCCTATTTATATATAAGATATGAGAAAATATTACATATTACACCTATCGGGTCCATTTTGGCAGGTTTGTTTATCCTTATGTAGCAAATATATATTCTGAGTTAGAAGCAAATCGGACTGTAAATAGCTCGACCCCTGCGCCACCTATTGGAAAAGTTAAAAGTTTGTGCACTCCTCCTACCAAACACCTTTCCAATAAAGCAACAACCATTCGAATCGGTTTAGAAACGTAGGAGAGAATTATTCCCAATTGATTCATGCTTGCCTATTTATATATAGCTTTACTTTACGTCCTTCATCCAAATAAGTACTTATGTTTGTTCTGCAAGTATTGCACAGGACCTTCGGCGTCAATATTTTGGGGAACAAGTTTAAGTAAAATTAAGTTCCCGCGCAAAAATATACTCTCCACAAGCATAACAGGACTTATTGGGACTGTTTACGCAGTAATATTCACGCACCTTACACATATGTATGTGGATACCCAGCCAGCAAGAAAACGTACATTTTACGAACATTATGTTTCACGAGGGATTCTCGTATCGCCAAACAGTTAGAGAAAAGCTCGTAAACGATAAAACAAAAAAATATAATAGAAAGAGGCTTGTAGTAATTTGTCAGCACAAGAAAAAATTTTAGTTTTGTTGACAATTTTTCTTCAATCACAATATTTTATAAGTAAGTAGTTTGTTAAATATTCAATTTAAGAAAATTATTAAGTATGTGATTTATTGGCAGACTGGTGCAAACGCAAAGGACGATCTACCACTTTCTTTTATAATTAAACTTCTTGTAAGTAGCTACTACATATGTAATTCAAAAATACAAATTAATTTAACGAGTTTTGCAATTCTTTCACAGGCTGCGCGGAGTAACACTAAAGGATTTAAACGTTTAATTCCCCTATCTCGTAAGTTTATAGTTATTTATTTTTTTAATTTGCTAGTTTATTAGGTCTTTGCAGTTATTGAACTTAATGTTTTATTGATAATATGGCTTCTCAATTAAAAAGGCGTGCGAAATCCGAAGCCTTATCCGTACTAGCGTCAATAAATGATTCATTAAAAAAAAATTATTATAGATGAGGTAGCAGAACTTTTCTCGTGGAAGGGAACTGGTACCAAAAGCAGCGCTATTGGTTTGGCAACGACTGCGGCAATAAGAAGTACGGATCATAATATTATTTATTACCACTTTTTACTTAATTAAATTTTCCGGTTTCCAATGGAGTTTAATCTTTCACTTTATTTTCTTAGGTGCTTTTCGTCAAAAATTTAACTCCCACGAAGAAGTTTTTATTTCCGTTTCAAAGAAGCACTTCCAATATGCACACGACCGGCAAAAAAAATTGGCAGCCTATCGGCAAAAAAGATAAAAAATAAATTCAGCAACTTTATAATATATATTAAACCCCTCTTATTTAATTGTTAATTTGTTAATAGATAGTTTGTTAATATTTATTTATCTGAAAATATCTTCACATATACAGTGCCGGGAAAAAATATTGGCACAGAGAATTTTTCGCCATGAATGCAAAGTTTTTTATTCTGATTTCTTCTCTAATTGTTTTTTATAAAAATATAGTTAGTATGAAGTTCTACTTTCAAATCAGATTTTTTAGAAAAATTTTAAGTATGCAGTTTTATAGCCCATTTAATTTTAGTATAATAAAGTGCACGCTTGAATAGCTAGAGAACCTCTTTGTTTTTTGACAATTTCTTATACGCAGTTTCTTCCATACAAAAAAAAAATGTCGCACATAATTTGCATGGAAGAAACTGCGTGAAAAAATTGCCAAAAATCAACGCGGTTTTCTGGCAACTTCAAGCTTGCACTATGTTATACTAAAATATAATGGGATTTAAAACTGCATACTTAGAATTTTTCTCAAAAATCTGATTTGAAAGTAGATCTTCATACTAACTATATTTAAAAAAAAAAATGTGCGAAAAGAAATTCAAGTAAAAAACTTTGCATACATTGCGAAAAATTCTCTGTGCCAATAGTTTGATCCGGCACTATAAATATTTATTAATTACAATTCCATTCAATAAAAGAACTACAATAATTTGAATTAATTAATTGCCTTTATTTTTAGCATTCAAAAACAGTAGATAAAGCAGTGTAGAAAAACGCTTTTTTAACGTAAATTAATCGTTTACGAGACTCGTTTACAAATTAAAAAACGGACGTAAAAATATTCGCATACGAATGCTTTTTCGATCCGTTTACGACTGTTCGTAGGCGATGCACAATTTAAAGCGAAAAAGTGCTCGAAAAAGAGTCGTAAACGGCTATCGATTTTTAATCCGGTTTTTCTTCGAGAAAATATCCAATTACGAGCTTGTTTACGATGATTTTGCTGGCTGGGTAATTGCTTTAATTTCTTGCTAATGCAGAAAGTTCTTTATAAAACACGAACTAAACTTTTTGGCAACAATAAATAAATCATAATGCAAACGCCTGATAAAAACAAAAAATTTTGGAGTAGAAGTAAATTAGAAGTGGAGTATACGTAAATAGAAATAACATGCTTGCTGACAATATCTCTTAATAAATTGTCAGTTTTCATCCGATCATGATTCGGAAAGTCACAAAACATTCACTATAAAGCAGGCTATCGACCTACGGTGCGAAACCAGGGGCTTATTTTATATTTTGTTAAAAAATGAATAAAATAACAAGGTAAATGCTTAAAACCAATAAAACTTTGGAACAAAATTAAATTATCATCCACCATAACTCTGCCACTTCTCAGCCGAATTTAAATAATACCCTACTTATTTTTTCCTTATTAAAAATAAAATAATTTTTAATTCAGTTTAGTGAGGGCGACCTAATCTAATCTAACTTTTTTAAAGCTCAAAACACCGAAATTTCAAAACATCTCGAAAATTGTTCTACTTTTATAATATCGGACTAGCATAAATGCCGTGGTTGTGAGTCTAGACTGCGGATTTTTATGCAGAAAACGAAGCCTAAAACTATGTACCACTTAACTATGTATAAACAAAATGTATACAAATTTATACACTTTGCTTATAGTTATGTGGTACATATTTCTAGGCTCCGTATTTTGCATAAAAATCCACAGTCTAGTTATGAGAATTTTTGAAAATTGTTTACCTTGCGTAATCGATGCCCATTTGAAAACCATTTCACATTTTACTTTTGAATGCATGTAGACACTAGCCATTTGCATTTAATTGCAAATTAGAAACTCCGATTTGACAATCTGAAGCGATTTTCACTTGTCATCGTCGCGATGTCTTTTATGGCCATCACATTTTACTTATTGAAGTAAATACATATTGTTAAAAGTTTGTTAATCGCTACGAATTTATCAAATTCACAAATATAGCTTAATTTGAATATTTCTTCACTTTTAACTCACAGCGTTTTAAAAATTGCATTGCAGTTTTCCTCGTATAATTCAAAAGAGTTTATACATATTCCCTATCCCCCAGCATGTACGATAACCTCTTTGCATGTATACTTCCTTCCATAAATGTGGGTCAGCAGTACCGAGCAAGTACACACACCATATTTGCACATAAGTGCAAGAAGGTTTTGCTCTCCACGCCAAACACCGTGGATTGCCACTCAAGCACTCAATTTGATGTAACACGGAAAGGGTGCAGGCTTTACACTTCTTTCGATGAAGCATTCGGACATTTCGTTATTTGTATCCGGCATACACAGACACAATTCAGGCACCGTGCTTGCTAAACTGTCTAGTTGCGGAATTACGATTGATGTTGCTTTGCCTGCAGCATCCACGCAACTGCGCCGCTCGAGACAACTTTCGTTTGTTTTTAAACGACAGTAAAACACGGGAGACCAAAAATGTGAGCGCAAAAATATGCCGAAGGAAAAGTTTTGGGACAATTCTACAGAGAGAGAATCAGCAATAACAGCACACGCTAACGTCCTAATCTGATAATCAGTGCTATTTTCACTTCTGCTCTGATAGATATCTACAATGCAGTTGGGGGAGTTCAGACAAATCGTTTGCAGCGTTACCAGATGTTTTGTCGACCAAAAAACCGTAACCTTAAAAATCGAAGAGAGTTTTTAAAAAATTAAGGTTTTTGATTTGAAACTATTCGTTTCAAATAAAATAACATCGACCGTTTAAATTATATTTATCTAAATAAAAATAGACTTTATCAAATAAAACATTTAAACATTTGGTTTTATTGAAATTTAGTTTCATTACACAGCACTACATACCGCTATAACCCGTCGCTGAAGCCAAATACGGTGTCCGTTTGATCGCATCAGGTCAGGATTTAGGGCAATTCAAGGTCAAACTAAAAACAATTCATCTTTAAACACTAAGGGACGGTTTTTCAATAGTCACATAAGCCATGAGTAAGTACTAACTTGACTGATAAGTCGAAATGGTGTTTTTCAATAGTCAGTTAAAGTTTATTCGAAGAATAATTAACCTAACTGAGGAATAAATTTATCCGGAAATTCGTTCGCCAGATAATCATTGTATCATTTTTAATACTTTTTTTCTAAATTTTAAGATCGATACTTTGATACTTTTTTGTTCACAAATGCCCCATTTTGATACTTTTAGTTGGCAGAAATGAATTTTTGAAAACTATGAATAATATACATATATAGTTCAAAGGCAATAATTTTTTTCTTGTTATTTAAAGTCTTAAAATTTTATATTTACATATTTGGTAACTCGTATAAGGGAATTACAAGCCGGAATTTCTTTGCACACGCCGCTGTTATAGGGCCCCTAAAGCACACAAAAACATTGCGCAATGTCGGGCTTACGTCGGTCGTTTATGCGGTGTATGGGGTTGTTTGTACTAAATTACACAGTTCTTGCGCTAAAATCAAAATCATGTTGGTATTTTGCTAATGCTTGTGTTATTGTAAAATAATTTGTGTTGCTTATGGCGAGAATTGCGCAATTTTTAGTCTTGTTTTGATTTTGGTGTCCAGATCGTGCTGTAAAATATGGAAAGAGCGTAGAAAATTTTTTTTTTTTAAAGCTAAAGCTATCAAAATATACAACGCACATTCATATTTCTTGCACATATTTACTTGAGCAACGTTTCTCCAAAATAAGGTTAGCGCAATTTTATTGTGTAGTAATTTCCACAATATTGACTTGTACACAAAGTGGTAGATAAGCCTTAAATATTGTGGTAGGTTCCAAAACAATGTGGTAGATTAACATATTTATGTATGCATTAGTGCGAGTCAATTTGTATGGGATACTTTTTCGACTATGCACGCATAGCACAGAAGGATTCTATGTGTAATTCTAAGAAAATTTGCCGAAGAAACCATGCGTCTAAAATCAATTTGGAGTTTGCCAAATTGTGAAAATAGGCTTCTTAGCATTTTGCTGTAGTAGTGCTTTAATTTTGTATAAAAATTAGCTAGAAGGGGTTTTTTGTATGAGGAGTCCATTTCTGAACTTATCTTTTCTTAAAACTTCAACCGGAGTGCCCAACAGTAAAAATTTGGACATTTTCTTCGAACCTATTCTCGCAATTTGACAAACTCCAAATTGATTTTAGATCCATGGTTTCTTCAGCAAATTTGCTCCGAACTACACTTAGAATCCTCCGCTGCTATACGCGCATAATAAAAAAAAAATGGCCCCGCTCTACTATGTATGTAATAAAATAATTAAGTTTTTTTAAGTCTGTTATTCTAAATATATACAAATGAACGGCGGAACCGATTTCAATTCCGTAAAAAGTACTTTTTTGGATCTTCTGTGTGGAAGGATTTTCGATAAAAAAACTTCAAAACTTTTTGTTGTTGTTGCCAAAAAAATAAGAAAGCTGAGACGTCACCATTTTACAATTTCATAAAGTTTTCCGTATATTGTATGTCACTAAACTACCAAACGACTGGACCGATTTTGTTCATATTGGGAACAACTCTATGTCAGCACCTCAAAGGAAAATATTCCGACTAAAAAGTTAATCGCTAGGTGGCGCTGGGGTCGGGATATTCCTAAAAACTGCATTTAGTCGCAGATGTGGCTCTCATTTAGAATATTTGTTGGCCAATTGAAAAGGAATATTTACTGAAAAATTACACGATAGGAGGCGCTGGGGTCGGGATACTCCTAACGTTCTTTTATAGTGGGAGAATGATGGATATCTACACATATACATACGTCCCAATAAAATGTTGAAACCCCTTTTTTGAGTGCACCACTATATCTTTTAAACCAACTATGCTGGGGAACTGAAACTTGGCGCGGATGCATAAATTGTAAATACCCTACTTATGGCGGAAACTGGGAGCTATTGGAAAATGGGACGTGGCACCTCCCATACAAACTTAACGTCTCATATCGCCTATCTCTGGAACTGCTTAAGCCAACGCACAGTGGCCAATTTTTGGAAAACCCTGGCCAAAAGTAAAAAAAAATTGATGTATTCGTATGCATAACCATCTTATATTGTTAGGAGGGCTCTATTGCGTATCGTTATGAGACAACAAGTCGATTCTTTTAAAGCATTTAGTGTTGGAGGAGTTGGAAGTGACTGTTGCTAGCAATTCGCTCTAAACTCTTCGTAAATTAGAGTTTTACGTTTACGGGATGTACATAGCTCAGTGGTTAACGCTTCTGACTTTGAACATCGAATTCGCAGGTTCGATCCCTGCTGAAGTCTAGAAAAAGAAGTCTGATGAGGAGATGTGGTGATCTCCGAAATAGTGCTATAACTTCTACCGCTTAGACTTTGTTGCTTTTTCAATTTTTCCTAATAAACAATCGTGGTACAAAGCTCAATAAAAATATTAAAAATGAAATTTAAACAAGCCACAATAACATTGACAAATACATAGTTTAGGAAGAGCCTGCCTGAAACTATACAAAAAAAAAGCAAATAAGCAAATGAATGTATAGAATTGACAACAACCAC